GATATTGCGTAACACTTGGCTAGCAAACAATGCTCGTTGACTTTCCAAACTAAGTAAGGCGTGCTAGTTGACTTTCGTACCTTAATGACAAGCTTTCGGGCTCTTAATTGAAGATCATAGAACTTTGGAACGATCGGCCAGTGTTGTCGGAAGTTAGGCAAGTGGAGCTGCCATCTCACAAGTATTGGAACAAGGCGGATGCGATTGGACGGGTAGTTCGGATGATGGCAACTAGAACGTGGATAGCAATTAATTAACTGAAATCCTTGGTTCGAAACTAAATATCTGTGCTCCAGAGCTCGGAGGCCTCTACAAATCACACAAAACCAGACTGCACGAAAGACATTATAACATGTAAACATTTTTTGCGCAAGCTCGAACTCAATGCAAGTCTCATGTGTGTATAGCAGGCTTGCAAATGCATCATTGCCACATGCACGCAGCACACTGCACTTGGGTAAAAAGAGCTCCAGCTACCTATGTCGGAACGACATGTTTGCCACTGAAGTAGCCAGGTTTCATTGCATTCAAGCTTGAAGTCTACTTGACTAAACTGTCATTGATTATTTCAAATTCGTGATAGTATCTTCGTTTCATACAGTGTCAGAACTGGGAGTTTAGTATCCAAAAGGACCCATTATGTGGCAAATTCCATGGGCACGCTTGAGTAAGGTGACTGAGGGGGCAGTCAGATCGATCAATCCATGTCACACACCTCCTCTTGAGTCCAGACTTCAGGGTGACAGCACTCAAAGGTGTTTTATGCGGAGAAAAATAGGTCAGGAGGTGACCATGCCAGCTGGCAGTCGATAAAGTGGTAGGCAACCCTGACTAGCTGAAACGGCCTAAGTAGGAGTAAGCAATGCGTGGTTCGTCCTGTCATTGGCCTTTCACGTTCATCTTGTCATTGCCTACGTCCGAAGCCAACACACCAGCCGCACTAAATGATCTAAACAGGCAATTCCAACGACCATGTTGTATACATATATTCGCAAATGGCGCCTGATTAGGTTCTGGCAGGTTCAAAGCTGCGCGCGATAGAACGAATGGCAGGCCTGACTCTGCCTGACAGACCGCATCTTCGGGAGAAACATGGCGGATCCTCGCGGGACTCGCCGCAGTGCCAATGTGTTTGATCCCAAGACATTGGTACCTTCCCCGGCTTATGGTAACATGCCTAGGTAGTCTCTGATCATCCTGATCCGTTCGAGACCTCAATAGAATGAACTCCGCACCTTGCAATCCTTCAATACCAACAAAACCGCCGAGGAGTCTTTCTTCGAGAGCCGAGGAATCCTGAGAGCCGAGGAACAACTAGGAATGAGGAGAACATCTCGTTGAACATTCCTCTTTAGGCGTAGATTCTTTGAGGCTGTGGATATCATCATCTTCTATAAGAACTCTCACAAAGCTCACCACAAAGCCACGATAGCTCTACACCCACCCAGGCACCTCAGCAGCTAACCGCAACCGCTTTCATTCTCTTCAGTTCTTTGCCATCTTGTCCGCGACAAGTCACTTCACATTCATTCTCTTTGCAAGTCCAAGCACTTTGAAACTCACCTATCTCATCATGAAGTTCCTCAGCACTCTTGTTTTGGCCTCCACCGCCTTTGCCTACCCCACGATCCCGCAGGAAGAAACCAAGCGGCAGTTGGGCGGCACCGTCGGCAGCACGGCCAACGAGTTCAAGACCGGCGGGTGCAACGACATCATCTTCGTTTGGGCGCGCGGCTCCACGGAGATCGGCAACATGGTGGGTTTGCTTGAGTTCCCTCATCCCAACTGTCGACTGTTGATGACTTTGATGCTAAAACTTTCTTTTCTCTGGACAGGGCACCGTTGTGGGACCCCCTGTTGCCAACAACCTGAAGGCCGCATTCCCGGGTAAGGTCGCCGTCCAGGGTGTTGATTACGCCGCTGGTCTGGACACCAATTTCCTTCCCGGTGGTGCCGACCCCGTTGGCATCAACCAGATGAAGAGCATCCTTAGCGATATCAACAGCAAGTGCCCTACTGCCATCGTCGTCACTGGAGGTTACTCGTAAGTTTCGCACCTTCGTTTCTCACTTACTCGCCTGACTTGAGATGCTGACCGCTTCGAAAACAGCCAAGGTGCTGCCGTAAACCACCGCGCCATCGAGAACGCCCCCGATGCGCAGAAGAACCAGATCGCCGGAGTGGTCACCTTCGGAGACACGCAGTTCCGCGCCGACAACGGCCAGATCCCCAACTTCCCCAAGGACAAGATCAAGATCATCTGCGCCGCCAACCCCCGTGACACTGTCTGCGACGGAAACTTGAGTGCCGCCGTCCTGGCACCTCACCTTTCGTACGGCGCCAACGCCCAGGAGGGAGCCGACTTCCTCATTGCGCAGATCAAGAAGGTTCAGGCTTAAGGTTGTCTTGCACCATCTGCCGTCCTGAGGCCCACAGGGGGTATTGCCATCTCATTGAGAACGGTGCCCGCGATCAGATTTGCTGAGTGGGCTGATGGGAGTGGTTCCGCACATATCATGAAAAAACTGGCTGGGTCCTCTTTTTGTTTTGCTTGCGACATGAGGCTTCCGGAGGCTTCTGTTCTTTTGTTTCTATCCTGTCTGGCTTTGGCCAAGACACGCGATTGTTAGTCTTGCTTGAGTGCTGCATCTTTTCTTTCCAAAATACATCACCGTTACCCGCCAATTTCACTTTTCAAGACAAGTGACCTGATGTACATGAGTTTTCTGCCCACATGAGGCCAGAGTAAGACATGCACAATAAGAACAGGACCTCATTGCGGCGGTGCAGACAGACAGGACTACGCCACGTGAAGGACACATCCGTGCTTGTCGCTTTGGCCTCGTCCAATGGAGTATCTTTACCCTAAGGGCGCACAGAGGCTCGGGCCGCGCTATCAGTTCAGACGGATAATTTATATGAACATGTCAGTGTGTCGCTGCGTTTCTTTTTTGCCCGCAAGCTGTTTCACACTGAGCCTCCGTTTGCCGAAGTTCCGTTCCGTATGACGAACAATAACATTGGTTTGCTCTGTCACTTGGGAAGGATTCAGAAATTCAGTGAGTTCAACAGCTGTCAACCGTCCGATTTGAGTTCCACAATGGGAAAATGTGAGCAGCATCCTGCAGCACCGTTCCAAGCCGTTGAACGTCAACATATCCTGCGGGGCACCAGCTTGCTTCTGTGCCCCCACCGCGATGTTTTCGGGGAATTGTCTGTGGGGGCTGAAAAGGGGCCAAGACTGAATGGAAAGTCGCGTGTCTAAGTCAACCAGTTGCAGTGAGCTGTCTGATATAGATGAGAGGCCATGTTCTTACCATTTTGAGTAAATCCCGCGAAGGATTCTATTGCTGTGAGTCCCGCTATTCCACAACCCCGCCTGGGGTGCATGCAGACTGCGTCACATTGGTGCGTATCCACCATTGGCCAGAATCGGCCATCTTATGAGATGCGATTGGAGGGCGACCCTGGAGAAGCCAGATCCCTGTCAAGTTGAGAACATCGCGATCCCCTCGTAGTCCGAGTGCCGAGGCAGACAAACCATCACTCAGGGGGCCTGACCAAATATCCATTTCTTGACGTTGACCTACACAGACTTGCAATTTATCCTCACAGATTTTTTATGAGCACACCATCACACACGGCAAGAAACCAAGAGTAAGAACTTCGTTTGCGTGAAGTGACGGTGAATTTCGTCTCGTACAGTCCCCTCTTCCGGAAGCAGTTGCGATGAAGCCACAAACTTGATGGACTAAATCAAACCAGACAAGATGTAAATAGTGCAGCAGCCGAGGCCCCGAGGCTCATGATCTTGACGTATCGAACTGGCATCACACTTATGCTGGAAATATTGCAGTTAAATAGCTAAGACGTATTCCTCCCGGAAAATGAGGCCAATCTCGCAAGATCAAGGAATTATCTGGCAAACCTCCATCGCAATCGAAATATCAACACATCAATCACCATGTTCTTCATCAAGCTTGTGGCTCTTTCAGTTCTGTCTTTGTCCGTTGTAAACGGCCAAAGCACTGACGAATGCCCTGAAGTTCCAGAGACGGGGGTTACTATTGGCGATCCTGTCCCCATCCGACCGGAAGATATCCCAGCTGGCTGTTCTGACTTTGAGATTCTTGTTGGTGTGTTCTTTACAAACCTGATCCGCTGGTTCTTTGAAGTTAACTCGGGGATGCCCAGCTCGAGGAACGAGTGAGCCTAACTATGTTGGAGGCGGCGGTAAGTTCGGCATCATAGTCGGCGACCCGGTCGTTAGCAATGCCACTGTTGCTCTGCCTGATGCTAGAGGATACCCGGTCCAGGCAAGTGTTTGTACTCTTATGTCCAACAGAGAATTTATTAACCCGACAATGCACATAGTATCCGGCCAGCTCGCAAATCATCACAGGCGTTCGTCAAGGTTCTAGAGACGTGGTCAACCGTCTCAAGTCTCAGGCTGCTGCCTGTCCCAATCAGAACTTCTCCCTCGTCGGATACTCCCAGGGCGCAGCTGTGATGCATGCTGCCGCGGCTGACATCCCGGCCGAGCTCTATGGCCGCATCAAATCGTTAGTGATGTTTGGAGATGGATACTTGAAGCTCGGGGCCAGTCTAAGCAAGTTCCCTGCCGGACTGAACGAGAAAGCGAGGCAGGTTTGTGCAGCTGGCGATCCAGTAAGACTGATACCAACTTCCAACCGAATTCATATGACCCAGACTGACTCTTACGTCTAGGTTTGCGATGCCAATGGCACCTGCACATTCTTCCACCTCACTTACATTCGCCCCGAGTTCATTGATCCTGCCGTCGACTTCATTGTCCAGAAGTTCGTTCAGTAACTCATCAACGAGCAATCCTCGATGGGCTAGATACTTTCGTTTCTGGGCAATCTGTGGGCCTTCGGAACAAAGGCGCAAGAGTTGTGAATGTATCCCCTTTCCATGGCCAGTTTTATCTAGTTTAACATCAAACATGAGGTGCTTGCGTCTATGCAAGCCATCCCGATTCAAGTTTTGAGACTTCCACCGGATAGCTCTTCCTCCAAATCGTAATATACCTGGAACTCGCAGTAACAAACCTCAGAATCACTCTCAACGTCAAAGTTGAAGTTCGCCTCGTCATCACTGATCAGCACCTTTCGAAGGCCAATGTCTCCATGCGATGCAGCCTCTACCAACAGCTGAACCTGACATGTTCGTTCCATTGATGTGAACAAGAAAGCAGCCTCGTCGACAGTTTTCCCAACGGTCAGGATTCCATGGTTTCTGAGAATGCACCCCTTGCCATTTGGACCAAGTGCGCTAGCAATGCGGTCGCCTTCTTCACTACCCAAGACGACACCTCCGTAGCTGTCATACACGGCATGCGCATCTCCTCGAAATTTGCAAGCATCTTGCGTCAACATGTCCAATCGTCTGCCGAAGACCGACCATGCCTTTCCATGCACACTATGGCAGTGGCAAACAGCATGTGCATCCGGTCTCGCCTTATGAACCGCAGCATGAATAAGGAACCCGGCAGTATTCGGAGGAGCAGATTTATTGCCGCCAATGACAGACCCATCCAGGTTGACAAGAATCATATCGCTAACTTTCAAGAGGCCGAAATGCCGGCCTAGGGGGTTGGTCCAGAACGCATTGAGAAACTCCGAATCACGAACCGAAATATGACCGCTCATACCCTCGACATAACCTTCGCGATGCCAGTGACGGAAGGCAGCAGCCATATGATTGAGTTGCCATTGACGGTGTGATTGGAAGTCCAAATGCTTCGGAATGCCGCCAAGAACAACGCCACCATAGGACATAGCTTGAAGTGGTGTTTTATTCTGCAATTTGTGGCCGTGTTTGTTTCGGGAAGTCTCCAAGTCGCCGTCGCCACTGACGATATCAGAAGGGTTAACTGAAATAGCTGAAGGTCCCATGATGAAGGGAGATATAATTTGTTCTTTAGATGTGTTTGGTGGACTGTCAATATCGATGACCATGGTGAGAGAATCAACCTTCCTTTATAGCACTGTTGCAATTTTTGGGTTTTGCTCGACCCAGCGCTGATCTGTCACTGCTCAGATTATAATTTTGCCTGAACGCCTAAGAGTATTAACTCAAGTTAGCATGTGCATCTTGTAGAGCCGGGATCTTGTATTGCGGGTAGAGAAAAGTCGGCTTAACTCTGGTTGAATGGCGAACTGATGGTGCTTGTCCGGGGTGGCCTTCTCAATCTAACAAATTGATTCCTGAGTCCTAATATATATGCACCTTAATAAGAAGGAGCAGAATATATCATCTCTGCACCTTTCATATCCACAGGAGAGCTCGTACGTAGCAAAGATCCTTCACTTTGAGATTGATCCATATGAAAAGACAAGGATCACGCGGTAGTGTAACATGCTGCATCTGGACTGATCGCAGATGGAAACCGCCATACTGTTGCCCATCTCGGAATGTTCTATCTCGGGAATACTTCCGTTTCAAAACTCGAAGCAGTAGCTTCGAATAATGAACTAATACTCCCTTATCATCGAGATCTAAATTAGGTAGGTAACCCCCAGGTTTTGTTGCTTGTTAGTGCGGGGTTGCGAATGGTCGATTTGATGCATTAGGCCATAGACCCATTTAATCCCGTGGAAACATGCCTATATTGTCACGACCCATCGGCACCTCCATAAATCATTTGGATGAACAATCCTGCGTAATTAAAAGTCCCTCTTTCTACGATATTGTAACGATCTGAATGACTCTTTTGTAAAAGTTTTCGCCGAAAACGACGAATAGACAAATGCCCGACTGCTCTCTTAGTCCATACCTACCTTTCCTGTCTCCATAATGCCGAAGTCAATTAGGCGTCGAGTTGAGCATACACGAACCTTTACGGGGTGTCGAACTTGCCGGAGCCGTCATGCAAAGTGCGATGAAGGGAGACCGGAGTGTGCAGCTTGCCGCCGAAATGGGATCACCTGCGCTGGCTACACCGCTCGTCTAACTTGGATCGAAGATTGCGATGCCTCTGGAGAAGCAACTCGACGCGGCCCTGAAGTGCCTGAGTACCGGTACACCTTATTTCCAGGTCGGATTCATTTTCGTGTGGTGGTCTTTTCTGCACATGCTGACGCGGAAGGCTGTGTCCTCAGACTCTGAACGTGAGATCATGAGCAGCCAGCTCACAGATAGCCTTGGCTCAAAGGCAGCCGGGAAAGTGCTAGCCGAAATTGATACGGCGTCCAAAACATCTGAGCCTAAGAAGCCTTTTAGTATCTCAAAAGGACCTTTTGGGGTGTTCAAATGTCTTAAACGAAGAGAAGTCTCTCTGAGTCAGCTATCACTGTCGCCTATTACCTCAGAGCATGATATTAGCCTACTTGTCGATCCTGAAGATGAAAGTTTTCAAACGGGAACTGACCCACGAGAAGATTTCGGCATTGACTGGTCTGAGAACGAACTCGAAGAATCTATGCAGTCATCACTAGACTGCTTAGATCTCTTGGTTGCCCAGAGTGATTCCATCACCGCCTCGGACCCTTTTTCAGCCTCAATGCCTGGCCTCCAATCAGATTTCTCTGTCAACATCTTGCCAATGAGTTGGCCGGGGAATGGAGAAGGCAATACTTGTGGGGAAGACAGAGATATCATTGCACCTGTCACCAATGCTATTGAGACAGACAACCATTTGGCCACCTCCCATGCTAATGTCGCCACTATCATGACTATACCGCCTACATCGTTATGCCTCGGAGCTTCTGTTTCACGAACAGAGGTACCTGAACAGGCACAAACGCTGCTTCGCTACTACAAGAGCCACGTGGGCTCTACCAAAATTTCTGGACAAGGGAAATTCAAATCAGCTTGGCAACAGTTATTCCTTCCTTGTGCCTTTGAGACGTTTGCGGAGTTGTCAGTGTTGAATGAGGCATCTCAAAGTCGGCTGGCGATTCTGTGCGCATTACTTGCTCATAGCGCCTTTCAACTCAACAAAACGGATTTAACACCGCGTTTCCCGAATTACTGGCAACATCTGGGTGACAAACACCAAGAACGAGCTCGAATGCATTTGAAGAATGCTGTGAAGGTAGAGATCCACGATTCTGGATTAGGTGGATACAAAGACCTATTAATGGCCTTGATCGCTATGGCCATGGGATCTGTGAGTATTTTGTGTTGAAATTCCAGTCTTTCAAAGCTGACGGACTTCAGTTGTGCCATGGAAGCCGTGACTCACGCGTCTTCTTGCTCGATGCTGAACGTTTGATACGAGTGAAAGGGCTTTCTAGCTACAACTCTGAGATAGTCAGAGTACTTCATCACACCTATACCTATATGAGGGTAATTGCAGAGGCTACTTACCCCTTCTTGGATTCTGAAAGCGAGTCTGATCGCACAAGCTTGCTTGGAGTCGAAGCAATTGCACACGGTAGTTTTCATATACGAGAGGAGTCCCTTAACACAGGTCTAGATCCCAACGAGGAAAAGAATGAGACAGTCGGGTATGCAGACATACACCTTGAGTCACAAGGTCTTTGGCGCGAGACATTACATTCGAATATACACGGCATCCCTGAGTCTCTCATGACACTGCTGGCTCAGACGATTCAACTCAGCAACGAGAAAGATCACCTCGAAACTCGCGCACGCAGCAATCCGAAGCTTGCTAGTGACCTCAAAACGCACGTCAAGACTCTGGAGGGAAGAATATGGACCTGGTCAATTGAATCCGAAATAGCAATACTATCTACGGCCGGCAAATCGCAGCCCATCGATAACGGGACGAACTTAATCACTCAACCTTCTACACAGTCAATGGTACAAGCGATGCATCGAGCGTTGATCATCTACTTCTATCGCCAGATACGCGATGTTAGCGCCATGCTCCTCCAAACCGTCATCGATCAAGCTTTGGGGTACTTGGAGTCTTGTCTTGATTCAATGGTCAGAGGCGATGACTTTGCACTTGGTATTGCGTGGACAGTCTATATTTGCGCCAGGGAATCCATATCTCCAGAACTTCAGGAGAGAGCACTGAAGTGCATTAGCATTACTGATGCCCGAGGGCTGTATCTCACTTCAAAGCCTTCTGCTGAGGTAGTTTCGTTGCTATGGGAAAAGAGGCGGCCACTGAAGTCGTTGATTGATCATAGTTTTCTCCTGAGAGAAACCTTACGCCTTGGTTGATCGGCTTAAAATGGCAGTTTGGTGAGTGATTCCAGCTTCGGGCAGTATGCTCAAAGAAGCAATGAAATAATTGAATAACTAATTGAGATCCATCATTGCCTATATCATGCTTCTTACTATCGTATTGAAAGAAATTTCAAGGCAGAGAAGGGGACTGATCACAGCTTGACTGTCAATAGGTGTGTGACACAGGGAAGAAGCTCACAGAGGCCAACTGCTGTTAGGGTCTAGAAGATGAATTACTGAAATCTGCCCTTCCCTCGAGGTGTACTACCAGCGCTCTATATATGCCTGAGCTGCTCCTTTGTTGCTTGGTCCTCCTCCTCATGCCCCTTAAGCTATCCCTTAACCGGCGAGGCCTGACATTGACTCTCGCGCTTGACTCTCGCGCTTTCGAGCAAAGCAGCCAATTCGGCCTGAGGACCCTCCTTGAGAGGAGCAAATGGCTTCCTGACCCCTCCGGTCTTCCATCCTCGAAGCTCCATGCCTGATTTGATTGCAGAAGCATAGTAGCGGTGGGTTTCAAGCCACTTACAGATTGGGAAAATCTTTTCCCAGACCTCCCGGCCCTTCTTCAAATAGTCCTTTACGGCCAGGGTTCATTCCAAAGCTCGACAGAAAGCTCGGGAATAATATTGACGGCACCCCAGATGGAACCCTTCGTGCCCGCAGCCAGACCATAGAAGGTCAGAGTGTCCAAGTCGTTGAAGATCGTAATCTTTTGGCCGTAGGTCAAGAGCAAGTCAGTCAAGACTGGAGCATTGCCCGAGGTGTCTTTCAGGTATTTGACACCGACGTCCGAAAGTGATGCAATATCCTGGGCTGACAAAGTCAAACCGCGGATGCTCGGGATATTGTAGTAGACAATAGGTAGTCCACTTGCGGTATGGATGTCTTGGAGGAGCTCGCGTGTCTCCTCGAGGTTGTGAGCTTCGTAATAGGGCGGGATAACTATGACAGCAGCCGCGCCGGCCTGCGCGTCGTGGACAGCCAACTCGACAGCGCCCTTGCACTTTAAGTCACTGGTCCCAGCAACAACAGGAATACGGCCAGCGGCTGACTTGATGCAAGTTTCGGTAAGAATACTACGCTCCTCCACCATGAGCGCAGCGAACTCTCCAGTACTTCCGCCGGGGACCAGTCCATGGACCCCGACGTCAACAAGGCGGTTAACGTGCTGGTCAAGGGCAGCAACATCAATGTCTCCGCCATCCGCGAAAGGAGTAATAATGTCTGCGAGAATGCCCAAAAGTTCTGGAGAGTTGGTCAATGTGACTGTGATGTCGGATGATCTTGCAAGTTTCGCATGAAGCAGATACGGCTTTCTAGGAAGTAGTAGAACGAAAAGATTGCTTGATACTGACTGGGTGAGTTAGCCTCTTCAAGTTTGTTTCGGACTGAGTCAATGGAAGACTAGAGATGTATTTATTTTTTCCGATGAGAGTCATCAAGCAATGTTTCAGACCCAAGTTTGCCTGCTCCTCTCATTGCTTACGCGCATTCACTCCAATTCCGATACCACATATTGTTGATTATGTGCATTCGCCACAAATCGAGTCACTCAAACGAGATTAATGCCAAAGGGCAGCTCGAAAGAGAATGGATAGAAGATCCACGCGTTTGCCTCTCCAGATCTGTCTTCTCATTCATCCGATGAGGTACATTTTGTAACGATCGTTGACTAGGAAGCTCCCTTTGAGGGAAGCGGAGGTGGGTGAGGATTCTCCTAGAAACGGCCTCGTACCAAAATCGCATCCAAAAAGGGCAAGTTTCCACGCCGGTACACCGTAGAAGCTGTGCATATTAGCTTAGATCACAGATCGGCAAGCCTCATGTCTGTTTCCATCTCTAGCAGCTCTTGTTCATGATATGTGATTGAGAATCTCAGTGCAGGCATCAAAAGGGTGCTCCTCACTTAAACCGCAATTACCTGACTATCTCGGATAACTAAATGCACACATCAACTCAGCGTCTTAACTGGTTTTTGCCTTTCGAAATGTTACAACTGCGACAAAGTCGAGGAAAATTCAACCGCCACAAAACATAATATTCCAGAGTTTCATATTTCCACCACAATAAATCTTGATTTTTGCAACAATTACCATAATTTGGATCATTTCTATGGGTTAGATGGTGTTCATTAGTTGCAAAAAGCTTTAGCTACTTAGATGATGACTAATTTCGACATCGCTTGTACTCGGAAAATGAGTTGACGGCTCTTAGTCTAGTTGGTAAGCAGGAACCCTCCAGACTCCAGAGAGTACTGCTAATGTACGGCACCCACGCTAAGGAGACGGCAATTGCCTTCCCACCCCCAATTTTCGCCTTATTCGCATTGAGAAGACGCGCAGAGCTGCGCGAAATTTGAAACGTATCGAATCTTCACTCTCTTGGCGTGGATTGGCTCTTCACTCTGAAGCAATTCTTTATTACAAATTTCACATGGGCGACATGCGTTAGATGTATCACGATCTAGGATCCTCTCGCACAGCGCGTCAGTATTCTTGAGTGATGTCCTCCTGGCTCTTCAATGAAATGAAATGTTTCTTTCGAGAGGACTTGCTACCGTCACCGAGTGGACCATTTAACAGTTGCCTGCAACACACCGACCGTATCTGCCCTTGCCGTTATGTAGTGGATTGCAGTAGGCGAGACTGGGTGTGGCTGTCCACATTGACATCGAATACTGCAAGTGAATTACTAAGATGTTGAAAGAGCTTAGTGTGAGTTCAGCGAGGCGGATACAGAATTGGGGTCAATAGACCCGACTTAGTGAGACAAGCAGAATAAGACTTCAACAGAATGCGCAAAAATGACTTGTCACGTTGAACCTCGAGCCAATGAATAATATCGTTAGCTCTATGTGAGAAGCAAGCGCTGAGCTTCATAGACTCTCATAGGCTCTAAGATGGTGATAGGGATGCTTTCTGCCGAGACCTTTGATGAAGAGCATGGCACTCCTGTAGAAGTCTGAATGCATTTTAATTGATCAGAAACCCATCCGAGGAGCCGAAATTTGGCATGGCGTTTACCATGCCGTGGATGATATGGTTCCAGAACACGTGAACCTTGGCCTATGGAATGGATCGGAGACATGATCTAGGCGTTTGGAATTCACGAGTACATCAGTTCGATGGGGCTTGGGGGCCCTGAGCTGGAAGTGAGTCAAAGCAGGATGCATGCTACAGAAGACTACCTTTTACGAAAATATACATGCCATTCACACAAGCTTTCGTAGAAAAGCCAATGAAATATGTAAGGCATCCATGGCTGAGTTGGGAAAACCATTGGACTTGGGGTGTCAGGTCAAGCAGGGGTACTAGCCGTGTGTTCAGCTCCTCCTCGATCAAGTGACCCATCATGTTTTTGTCGGTTCCACTCGGACTCGCCGTTCTTCTATGAGAAACGATTTTAAACATTTTCAAGCAGAAGGAGACACTTCATTCACTGCCAAAAAGAGTAAACACTGTCCCAGCCGCAGGTACAACATCCTCAGATGAGCCTAGTGTATGAAGTTTACGTTCCTTCTTTTTTTCCACAAAACATGGCTTCCAGACCTTGCTCCAGGCTCTCGGAGGGGATCGGGTTCCTAGCCTCCAGGAATCGAAAGTCGGTTACGTTCACCGCAGCATCGGAGAATTCTTTTTTCTGAGGAACGCCAGGGGTCCCAACATGGTTAATGGGGTTAAGGCAGGGGTATTTTCAGCTAGTGGGGAAGACGTTTCCTATCTTGAGATCGTTCGGGGCTGGTCACACTAGTTTGCAAACTAGTGAATATCCCATGTTAACCATCAGCAAACCAACGTGAAAAGTACGTCGGAGTAAGCTAGCTAATTTAACCATGCGAGCGGGTGACAGCGCACCGTTCAGGCCTAGGTGTTGGCTCCCGTACGGCTGCACCCGCAGTAGCGGCCAGACGTTAGCTTGAAATGACCGTTCTGGACTGTTGTATCCTAGTTGACAACGTCGGAATGCAGCAAGCACCCCGAAAATAGGGCCAGAAAAACGCATGGCCTGACAAGGTACAATTTGAGCTTACTTGAAATTGGTATTGTTAAGCCGAAGGATTTTGTCTCACTTCGGAGTCGTATGGAGATGGCAGTCCCGAAGTAGAAACAAGCATCTCTTGAAAGGGAATGCAGGGAGATGGGAATGCTTGCTGAACTATGCCATTCAGCTTTCGGATCCAAGCCCACGGTACCGTCAAGACATGGTGGATCATGGAGCATTCTGGGCATGAGTCTCGTGGAGAAGAAACTCCGCTTCGGTCTCGTCCGAAGCTTAGAGTAAAATCTAGCGAAGCATTGGGGCTTGCTGAACTATACGAATTTCAGCTGCGATGCTTCTAGCCCAGCCTGAACATAATTGCGGTCTAGACAGACTCAAGAGCTTGAAGCATGAAGGCATACACAGAGCTATCATGTATATAAAGCACTGGTCAAACTCGAACAGAATATGTTTCTTACTCACTCATCACCTCAACTGAAGCAGCTTTCGCCTTCGCCTATCACTCTACACAGCTTGCAGTCATACAATACTTTTTAAACAAATCAAAATCCTCTCACCTCAGGTTCTTAACTTCCGCTACGATGAGGTCCTCCATCATCACTGCCCTCGTCGGCGGCATCATCGCACAACGTGCTGCCGCCACCCCTGCGGACGAACTCTTCGCACGTCAAGCCGGCTGCAACCGTGACAACTGCTTCCGCGCGCTTCTCGGTTCCAAGCCCGGCCCAGCTTCGGCATCGGCAGACTGTTCATCATGGATGCAGGTGACTGAGACTCCTTGCACTTCCACCGCAACCCAGACGGCCACCGTCGTATCGTACACCACCACCTTGGCCAATGCGTATCCCGGGCTCAAGAAGATGAAGCGCGAGGAGATCGAGGCTCGCCAGGCCTCGACCACCACCGCTGCTGCCCCGGTCTGCACACCCGCGCAGAACCGCCCAAGCAGCATGCCGGCCTACGCTGAAACGGGTTGCAAGAGCACCATCGGAACACTCGTTCCCACGGCGCGCTACTCGTCTGCCTGCTCCTGTGACGGCATCACCGCCACAACCACCACGCTGGCTACCCCGGTCACTACTATCACTGTCACGACCACCGTCGAGGCTGCCTTCACGCCCACGGCCACACCCACGGCATTCGTCCTGCAAGGTTCCGGTGACCGGAGCCTGTATGTGACAGTCGATGGCCAAGGCGCGCTCCGCCTTGTCCGCGACGCGTCCGTTGCCACACCATTCTACGTCGACAAGGCCGGACAAATGCGCAACTTGAACAGCCCGGACAAGGTCCTCGTGGACTACTACCAGCCCGACCCTGCCACGGCCAATGACAAGGTTTACAGCGACTTGCAGGGCACCGGAAACTACCCCATCACTTGCTCGTACACCGGTCGCTCTGACGGTGCGTACTATGGCAACTGCCAATCGAGCGGCTCTCCTACTGGAAACCCTGTTGTCTATGGCTTCGGATACTGCCCGAACCAGGGCGGATACGTCTACATGATCCCCAACAACTCGAACGTTCGCTGTGCTGGAGGTTATGCTTTCCTGGGCTTCTGGCTGCAGGCATACACCAAGGCCTGAAGAATTTAGGAGCTAGTTGGTTGTGTTTTTTATTCTCAACAAGACAATTCGTATGAGACTGTTTCCTCTCAAAGAACTTCTTTGCTCAAAGAAACTATGGGCCTTCAACTTTTCCTTAATTTATAGCTTTTGATAGTTCATCGTGGCGTTTCAAATTCCAATTCATTACAAGTTTAAATGGTTTACTTTGAGAAGACTTAAAGATGTGATGATGCGTGGTTTGCATTATTATGTCGTTCGAAACGTTGGCTAAAAGTCGAAGTTATTGTAAGAGATTCAATTGCCCGCTTGTACTTCAGTCCGTACGCTGAGCCACCAACTCATACTCGATGAGATTTTCAACATCCGACTGGCCGCACTTCCAGAACTTGACGATTCTCAAATTCAAACCTCTCTCCTCAACCAGCTGGTGCCAGTGGTCTTCAGTGCGTTCCAACGTCGAGAGCTGGGTCATCATCAGAATATCGCCCGCTGTGGCCTCCCACCAAGCACTCGTACGCGGAATAACCACCTCAAAAAATCAACATTCCGCTGTATCCGGGCTTCATCGCCTCTGCTAGGGAAGCTAGAATCTTCTTGCATACGTCATCTGGCCAGTCGTGCATGATTGAGTGCATGAAGTAGGCCTTTACGCCTTTGATAGGCTGCTCGGTCAAGAAGTCGTGTCCCATCAGCTCGATGCTGGTGTCAATGCCCTCGACGTCGTTTATGACGACGGGAAGATCCTAAAGGATGAGTTTCTGCTTGACTGTTAGCAAGGATTCAAGAGAATATATTGGGCCTCAGGCAAGATAAATCCTGTGCCGGGAAGACTGACGTCTGGATGATTCGGATACATCTTCTTGAAATCGTCAATGTCATGTCCAAGGCCACCGGCCACATCTACCAGAAGTGTTGCGTCGGGCGAGGTATCTGCATCTGGGAACAGGATCGAATTAAGGAGCAAACCTAGAAAAAGGTTGATGGGTACGGGTTCACGATGCATGGCAAGGAAGACAGTGAAGAGAGCATTGCAAACCCAGGAAAGAATGCGGAGACGTCTTCTTCTGGGCGCCAGAGTGATACGTATCCCGAAAGCGAGGACAAAATTGTCAAGAGTATCACCGTCACTATTACATACGACCAGGGAGAAGAAGGACCGACTTCAGCAGCAACGTGATGGGCTGCAATATGACTTAAGTTAGAGAAGATAGCATCACTGAGGATTGAGTTTAAGGTATCGACCCTAGGAACTTAGGGGCAGTGAGGCAATCTTTAGCCAGCGCGACTGCATTTGCCCCCCGGCTTTCAGCCCTTGTTGATCAAGTAAAGTGAGACTGCTGCGTTGCGGAAGACGCCAGTGACAATCCAGTATCGTATCAAAGAACATTGGAACACGCTGAACCAACGGCTGCTACGTCCCAAGAGAATATGAGACGGGGACGAGCCGCAAAGCCGCCTTCGTTGCGCTAATCTCCTAGCCAGTCAGGTTTCAGAAACGTTGCTGAAACGGGTGGGGGTCCTCCTCGATGCCAAGACCAACACACGGCAAGAGGCAGCTTTTTCATCCCATGTCCACAAGGCGGGATACTTTAACTCCACGTCAGGCAACTGACAGAAATGCAAATTCGTCTCATAAAAAATAGAGGCTCCGAATTTTAGATTTCCTTACACCTTTAGACACACATGATGCTGTCTCCTTCATTGCTGTTCCCTCTCGCGTTCGCGTCTTACACGGTCGCATCAGAGGCCCAAGTATATTTGGGCGGGGTACGAACATGCCCTTGGACACCACTCGAGACGCTCTTAGAATGTTCGACTTGGGACATTGCGAAAGAAAGAAAGCAAGATACGGAGACTAGGCGGGGGCAACGGAATGAGACGACAGAAACTGAGCCATTAGGATGGACGGGGCCTCACGGGTGCGCAGGAGCCTATTGCTTATACGCAAATCGCGGCTTTGCAAATGGGCGTGGGATCGTCATCATCTCGACACCGGAAAACGTGCAGAAAGCAAAGAGCTTGGAACAAGACCTGCAGACTCCAAACCGAGAAGATGATCCGTCATCACGGAACCCATCATTCCAGATCGCAGACGTAGAAGGCAAGGGACTCGGCATGCTCGCCAACAAGACCCTCGCCCGAGGCGACACAGTCATGCTCAAGACCCCAGTCCTCCTCGCCCACCGCGCCTTCATCGAGCGCACGCCAGTAGCAAACCGGCACTTCCTACTCGACAGTGTCGCGAGCTTCCTGCCAGCTGCAACACGCAAGACCTTCCTCGGCCAAATGGGACACTTTGGCGGCCACAAGGTCAGCGATATCATGGCGACCAACTCGTTCCAAATGGACCTTGGCGGCGGTGCACAGGGCGACGGCCACCATTACGGCAACTTCCCCGAGGTGTCGCGTTACAACCACGACTGCCGTCCCAATGTCGCCTTCCGCATCGACGGCCTCCGCCACCGCACTACTGTCGTCAGACCGGTTAAGCCTGGCGAGGAGCTGACGATATCGTACCTCGACCAGCTCGGCGTCCGCTCTGTGCGGCAGCACCGCGCCAAGAGGGCGTGGGGCTTCGAGTGCGGGTGCTCGCAGTGCAGTCTGCCCAAGAAGCTCGCCGCCGCCTCGGATCAGCGGCTGTTGGAGGTGGAGGAGCTGGAGAGGCAGCTCTCTGATATCGGCGCCAAGGTGACCGTGGCCACGGTGGAGAGGTTTTTGAAGCTGTATAAGGCGGAGAGGCTTGAGTCAAAGCTGGCGGGCGCGTATACGACTGCGGCGCTCAACTTTAATTTGCTTGGGAGGAATAAGCTGGCTGTCAAGTATGCCAAGCTAGCTGTTGAGGCTGGTACGATTGAGAGCGGGCCGGAGACGGGGGATGTCGAAGCGATGAGGGAATTGGCGGCAGATCCGAAGAAGCACTTCACTTGGAGAGGGAGGCTTTGATGAGGATGCACAAGATAGAAACTCATCGCCGGTTTACGTTGAGTTGAGTTAGACACACCACCATTTACGCGCTTGAAGCTCGCACCATTTCTTGGGCCCCGTCAACGCCGCCTTTGGAGGTGTTAAAATCGCAGTGAAACCCAAAGAGGAAAATGTGCCCTTTTGTGCCGCATCAACCCTAACATCGCCTTACGGGGTATTGAAATCGCAGTGCAAAGCTTACGAGCGTTCGCCCATCCCTCAAATCTAGGTGGGCGATGCGCCAATTGAAGAATCTTTGCATGCCGATATCAGTAAGCTATGAAGAGCAGACACAACTCTTCACTGCAAAAAGGACAGCATGGCTCATGAGGTCGTCTCTAAAAGAAGTTCTTAGTCAAGAGCATACCAACAACAGGGATTCATCCCAAAGGGGAAAGCAGCAGAGTCAAGCACCCTGTCACAACCCGAAATGAGACACCTTGTCGTCCTGTCACGGTCAGCAATAACATTAGACATTGCATGCGCACTCCATAGCTCCACGTGGGTCGTGATAGACGCAGGTTGACGCAGGTCCAGACTGTAAAGAGCATTCGACCCAGGCGGCTCTTAATTCTCGTCGAAACATTCGTTTCCAAGCTGCTGTGCAGCTTATTTAAATGGAAAATCTCAGATCCTCCCGTGACGTTTTGTAAAGAACGCGCCCCAGAGCCCAGGCTCGAACGCAGATCCGGGTCCCCACAGGAAGCGGGTTCCCTCATCTAAGTCCAACGGGCCCCATCACGATAACCTTTCGGCAGATCCGGGCTGCGGGCCGTTCAATTGTTTCTCGAATGGACGCCGCGCGGCGAGTCGGCCGAGCCGTGGTTCTTGGTCCTCAATGTGACACATGGGCTTGGTACGGAGTAAGAATGCGACTGTTTTGAGCAGGTTATCCTACGTTGACGGTAGAGCGCGGTTCCCTGATCGTCGACTGATTGCTGGGGGTGTTCTGGACTTTGGGTGCTGTCGTGGGTGGAATCTCGTCGGTATAAACCTAAACGACAACTACATGACAAGAGAGATCATCCACAAGTAAATACTCTTTAATTTAAGGGCACGAGGAAGAATGTTGTTAAAAGCTGGTAAGGTTATCGTGATCGCTGTTCTACTGCGTAGGGCGTGCAAACGTCCCTGAAGATCGTTTATTTTGGGTCATGGGGACTCCGCCAAAACGCTCGAAACGGTACAAGCTCAACCAATTTCGCTGTTTGTGGTGAGCCCGGTGAGCTCGGTGAAAGAATGATTCGCTGAAACCTGACTCGCCCAACGGCGTGTCCTCGTATGATGGAGAAAGCTCGGGGCATGAATTTCTGAACCGGCATGTTGTATTATATTGGAAGCCCAATGCAACTCGGGACTGGCGCTCTTCCCCTAATCGCAGAGAACGGTCTGCCCGCGCCGTCAACTGCATCCAACAGAGAGGGGGCGTTCTTCCCTCCCCCTTCCTTCTTGCGATGGTGGATGGGTGTCTCACGCGCACAGAAAATGCCGGCAGTCCAGGAGGAAAATAAAGAGATCGAGATCAGAGACACGGGACGCTAGCCCCAGGAACAAGGAACATGGCGGCAGAGAGGAAAGTCGGCGCCGTGGACTGGAGAAGGTTCGCTGTGCGCTGGACGTCCTTGTGACGGGATGACAGGCGGGCGGGTGAGAAAGGGACGGGGCTTGGTTGGTGGTGTGTCGAGGTGTGGGGAGGCCCGAGGCGCCGGAGGGCCCACTCCGGTCTGGTCTGACGAATAGCAATGGCGCTTTCTCGGCCGATGCGGAATTTTTGAGCATCCACCCAGCCACCCCGGCTACGAGCCAGTGACGTAGCTGTGATGGTCCTCGGCGGGATCCACGCTCAACTTCTTGTCTTTTTTTCTTCCCTACTGCCATGTACTAGCCCTAGCACGCCTAGCTTTGAGTCGTATCGCGAATTAACCTTCTGTCCGGCATCGCCAGCTTGTTTTTTCTGATCGTCTACTGATCGTCTAGGCCTTTTGTTATGGAGAAATCTCAATTGGGATACCTAGAGCTGTGCGGGCGACCGACCCCCCGCCCTCCCTGCCTCC